CTGTTACGGATTTGGTATTTAAATACTAATATTAGTTGAATTATAATTAAATTGTTCAGTGCAGCGCAGCGCGTGACGAATATTAAAAGAGAGCTAAGCCGGAAAATTAAAAATACAAGAGCACGTGCATTTAACATTTAATACATACACTGAAGTGACAAAAGTCATGGGATAGCAATATGCAAATATACGGATGGCAGCAGTATCGCGTAGAAAATGTATAAAATCGAAGTGCTTTGGCAGGGCTTTCATTGTGTTAAGTTATTCATGTGAAGAGGCTTTGATTGATATGGCCCACGGACGAGAATTAAACGACCTTGAACGCGGATGGTAGTTGGAGCTAGACGCATGGGTCATTCCATTTCGGTATCGTTAGGAATTCAACATTCCGAGATCCACAGTGTCAAGAGTGTGCCGAGAGTATATAAATTCAGGCATAACATCCCACCATGGACAGCGCAGTGGCCGACCACCTGCACTTAACGACCAGACCAGCGAGTCTCCGTAGAGTGTCATGTTCACAGACAAGCAACCTGCGTCAAAAAACCACAGAAATCAAGTGGGACGTGCGGAGACGTGTCCGATAGGACAGTGCGGCGGAATTTGTCTTCCTTGGGCTATGCCAGCAGAAGACCGATTCGAGTGCCTTAACTGATAGCACGACATCGCCTGCAGCGACTCTCGTGGGCTCGTAGCATACGGTTTGGTCCCTAAGCGAATGGAAAACCTGGCTTGGTCAGACGATCACGATTTCAGTGGTAGGAGCTGATGGTAGGTTCGTGTGTGGCCAGACCCCACGAGCCATGGACCCAAGTTGTCAACAAAGCACTGTTTCAAGCTGGTGGTGGTCCATAATGGTCTGGGCTGTTTTTACATGGCACGACTCGGTTTTCTGGGCACGAACCGATCATTGACTGGAAATGGATACCTTCAGCTACTTGGAGATCACTTACAGCCGTTCATGGACTTCACGTACTCAAACAACGATGGGATTTTTATGGATAACAATGCGCCATGTGACCGGGCCACAATTGTTCGCGATTGGTTAGAAGAACATTCTGGACAATTCCAGCGAATGATCTGGCCACCTAGATTGCCCGACATGAATCCCATCGAACATTTATGGGACATCATCGAGAGGTCAGTTCGTGCCCAAAACCCGTCGTGCTCCGTCATTACTTTCACAATTATGAACGTCTATAGAGGCAGCATGGCTCAATATTTCTGCAGGGGACTTCCAACGACTTGTTGAGTCCATGCCACGTCGGGTTGCTGCACTTCGCCGGGCAAAAGGAGGACCGACAAAATATTAGGAGGTATCCCATGACTTTTGTCACTTCAGTGTAAATATCTCTTTTTGATTTCGAGAAAGTTCCAGAAAATTCTTACGCTCGATTTAAAATCTTATAAAAAGGAGAAAAACCCTCTCAATTCAGTTAGTCAGTTAGTTGTTGTTGTTAGTTAGATTAGTTGGTCGTTTTTTTAAGAGTTTGTTTCGAAAACTGCTCTTGTTGACTGTAGAAAACTCGCGGATTAGCTTTCTTTAGCTGTTTTGAATTAAGTTCTGTTGAACATTTGAGTAGCTAAAAGATATATACTGTGAGATATTGTGATACTGTACGAAGACCTGGGGAAATTTTAGAATTTTGATTTATTTGTTGTGATAATAATAAAGTTTGTTCATTTTTCATCTGACTTGTGCATTCAATTCAAACGAACGCAACAATACGTTTAGAACGCAGCGTTATGTGTTGGCACACATTTCCTGTTCTCTTCGATCTTTTCTCAGTTCATCATATTGTTGCGTGCGTACGGGTTCGTTACGAAATGAATGCACAAGTCCGATGAAAAATGGACAAAATTTATTACTATCACGACAAATATGTTTAAACGTCCTCAAATAATCGTGCAATATCACAATATCTCACAGTAGTTATCTTAACTATTCAAACGTTCAACAGAAGTTAACTCAAAACAGCTAAAGAAAGCTAATCTGCGAATTCGCTACAATCAACAAGAGCAGTTTTCTAAACAAACTCTTAATACAACAACTAGCTAACTAAAATTACTGACTACGAATTGAGAGGTTTTCCTCCTTTTATAAGATTTTTAAATCGCGTGCGAGAACTTTCTGGAACTTTCTCGAAATCAAAAAGGGATATTTATTAAATGTTAAATGCACGCGCTCTTGTATTTTCAATTTTCCGGTTTAGCATTCTTCTGCCTACGTTCGGAGCACTTTTTTTTAAAAACATAGAACTCTGATGAAATATATATTTATTTAGTCAAATATGATATCAAATCATGAAAATAGGTAATTTTGTTAAATTTTCATAAATTTTTTGAAATATATGCCAATTTTATGCACATTTTTAGGAGAATTTAACACTTACGTTTGTGTATATTTTTTCCCACAGCATATATTTCAATTTTATTTACACTGTATACTACTACAACACTCATCTGTGTTATGAACTAAAATGTTTATGATATTCTAAAATTTACTAAATATGTTTAAATTACATGAAAAAAAACACAGTTTTTTGTAAAATATTTCTTATCGTTTTATATAGAAATACTTATAAAACAATCAAATTAATAAATATAACTTAGATTGAAGCTTAAAACCTAGTAAATAATATAAAACACTTTAGTGAAATTTAATAGAGATACCTTTAGAACATTTTGAGTAATTACATTTCTTGTATGTAAACAACACTAGAAAAATTGGTTTTCCAGAAAACGCATTTAAAGATTTTACATTAACATAAAAACTGTTCCGTTGTATTTACACACTTAAAATTCTCCACATTTGGACATCACAACCTCCATATCTTTATACTTAAGTAATTTTGATTTCCTATTTGATTTCAATTTTTTTCTGGCTATTTTCGAAATGAGCGACGAATGACGTTTCGAGTTCTTTATTCGGTACTTTTCCGTTTTGCCGGCACAAGCGATAAAGTCGCCAATAATGGTACAACCGATGCCAAACGGAATATTCTCGCTGGTAACCTTTACGCTCATTCAGATAGTTCGTTTATGTCTAAGGCCATTTTCGGCAATTAAATCAATTAGGATCCACAGCGCTTACCCGAAGCCGAAAATATAGAAAAGGTAAAGTCAAGGGTTTAAATTCATCCTTAATGAGAATGCATTAGCGAAGTAAAGCACTGCAGTTTTACATAATTTCTGAGTAGCTATTCGTACGAATTGAAGTATTTCTTGCATTTAAACTTGTGTTCCAATTAAGATTTAACTTGAAATTAATGTAGATAATTACTGAGAGCATTATATTTTTGTAGAGTAGTATACTTGAGATGAGGATCGCTTGGGGTCACGTGATATGAACCAGCAAAACAGGATCGTTGAACCATAAAAGCAAGTAAATTCTTAAATTAAGTCTTTATAAATTATTGTCTTTTTATTGCTTTTATAAAATTTTAAGCGATAAAAAATGTTTAGCCTTCAAAAAAAGAATTCTTAGGATAAAATTTTTTTAATATTTTTGTGTGTATAAATGTAGTTGTCGCCAATAATGTCTGCTTGGCGAGATTTGCGCCGGCGAAACGGAAAAGTACTCTTTTTCTTTCGTTATCAATTCCAAAGTAATTTTTAATCATTTCTTGTTCAATTGATATGTCTCAATGTTCAAACACAGGAAGTAATCCAATATACCATGAATTAAAAATTAAAACTGCTATTTATGCACCCAACAACATAGTCTTTATACCTAATCGCAATGTTGCCAGACCCAGTTAATAAAAACTGCAATATTGCCAGTCCCAATTCAAACAATTAAGGCAAATATAATTATGACCAGAAACAAAAAAAGTACCCAGAATTAAAATTAAATGTTTTAGCACAATTTACACACAAACAGGTAAAAAAAAACCACGGATAACAACATTGTTTACCTTTAAGTTGAGCCTTTCAAATGGCCTTCGGTCTTTCTGCTTTCACTTCCAGTGCAGTTAATTGGCTATATCTTCTCTTCTATTATCACAACGTAAAATGAACCATTTCGGAATCCTACAAAACTGACCTTTCAAACTGGGCAAAAAAAAAAAAACGAATTTTTTCGCCGAAATCGTTTTTTTTAATGTAGGCAGATACCTTAAATGTAAATGCACGCGCTCTTGTATTTTCAATTTTCCGGTTTAGCTTTCTTTTAATATTCGTCACGCGCTGCACTGGGCGAGAAATAAAATCATTTAATTTACAATTCAACTAACATTAGATAATTAAATACCAAATCCGTAACAGTATCAATGTTCAATTTTTATTTTTTGACTATAATGGCTTTACAAAACTTTTTTTTTTTTGTCTTTTAATTCTTAACGTGTTTAATTTATTTATAAAATATAACGTACTTGGCGTTTACGCCACATAAAATTCGATTCAACGACAAAATCACAAGATATTTAAAAACAGCATATCTTCAGACTTTTTGATAAGCAGTTTCACGCGCTGGAGATATAAATATTTATTTTTTTTTTCCGTACAGTGTTGACACTGCTCGCTTTGAAGCTGTCGAGGTTGTTAATCAAAAAGTGGTTAAAGTTTTACAAAATATGAAATGCATAATAAAACGAATTCGGAATTCAAATTTCGGCTGCTCATGTTCGGGTGGAAGACTACGTTATTCAAAATTTGATGTATTTAGGTACTGTCGTTTTTTCACAATTCGAGAAACATGCATGCGTTCATGCAGATTCTTCATTATTTTAATTTCTTTAAATTTAATGCAGGGCGATAACATTTGGTGGCAACAATTTGAAAAGTGACACGCCGTTTGTAGTTATTCAATGCAAAATGCCGTTTCGATACTAATATTCCATTCCGGAAAAACGTCTCTAGTGGGTTTATAAAATTAAAACTTTAAGAAATGAGATTCTTGTTGTTGAAATGAGAAGATAAAATTAAAATGTCACTGGCTATAAGTGTTAAATTTATTCTACTAAAAGAATTTATTCTAAAAGAACAGAGGTTAAATTTACCTTCCAGTCTCAGACTCATCCCCAGAATCACTGAAGACATCCGAAAAGGGAGATTCAACAGGAACATCCCCCGGATCACCCCGACTGCTATCACTCTGAGAATTAGGTGGAAGATTCCTATTTTTAGATGTTTGGATTAAAGGACTAACTACTTTCTCTGGGCTGTTGTCCACAGGACGAAACCTGAAAATGATAGATTCATGCATAAACACTCACCAGAAAACAATTACGATTAATGATGTAAGCATTTTGATCTGTTGTTTGATTATTAACTCTATTTTTAATTTGCTCTAGTTCCTAATATTTTTCATTTTCTTCAAGGAAGAATGAATGAATTTCTGTTACTAATGTAAGATTCAATGTATTTGCACGCTACGCGCTCGTAGAAAGTAATTTTAATAACTAAGATGGATAAGCAAGAAGAAATCGACATTTTATTGAAAGAAATAACAGCAAGGTAAACAAGTGTAAATGGATACATGAGAACAATAGGTATAAGCGATAAATAAATAACAAACATCTTTTATTTACATAGAGGATACTTCAATTTTCAACTTACTTTAAAGTATAAGATACAACATATTTATATACTAGTTTCCAGGATCCAAAGGAATGTATAAAAACAAATGCAATGTTTATACATTCATAGTTATACGCAGTTGTCATACTTTCGCAAAGAATGTTATAATCTGAGACATTGGGCGAAGAAAAAACAAAGTAGACGGTTTTGCCTAGATGCGTGGTTTTATTTTATGTTTTGGTAAGACCTTACAGTAGTCACCCGTTTTTGTCTTTTTTTTTTAATCCTGTGTGGCCCACGTTTAGTTAAACTATAAGGCATTTCTCCTGCCTTCCTAGCGTGCCTTCGTGGTGTAGTGGTCTGCATGCTAGGCGCGTATTCCAGAGGTCCGTGCTATCACGACAACATAAACTCCGAAGAAAACCGGGAAAAGCCGCTGAAGTACGAAAATATGTATTATGATGATAAAATGAACAGAAGCTGGTAGAGTAATGGCCAGAAAAAAGACTAAAGAGTGTTGTCACATTTTGCAATAGCTGTAATGGAGAACCGTTTTTTTTATTTACCATGTTCAATGAAATCCAATGAATCAAAATCAAATCATGAATCAAAATTAAGTAAATTTTAAATAAATTTGTGTAATTCATAAAACAGTGCAAATTTTATAGTTATTATATTGTTAACCTAAACGAAAAGGTCTAGTGTCAGCCACAAATGGCTGACGCGACCTAAACGGAAAGTTTAGTGCAGCCACAGATAGCTGACGCGGCCTAAACGGAAAATCTAGTGTCAGCCAAGGATAGCTGACGCGGCTTAAACGGAAAATCTAGTGTCAGCCACAGGTGGCTGACGCGGCCTAAACGGAAAATCTAGTTTCAGCCACAGATGGCTGACGTGGCCTAAAAGGAAAATCTAGTATCAGCCACAGATGGCTGACGAGGCGCTCAACGTGTTAACGCTCGGCCACTGTTGGGCCGTAAGAAGAAACTTAAAGGCAATATTTGAAGATACTCGAACTTCCCGTTTAGCGGACACTCACGGGACCAAACCTTTTGTACGTTATTAGAAATTATCTACGAAATAGAAGTGCATTGGTCTGCTTCGAGGATTCGAGATTCAGAGACTACATTAGCGGGGAGTGTCGTTAAAGTGGATATCAGTTAAAAAGAGTTTCGACTGTAATCTGGTTACTAATTCACTACCAAATATCACTACTCTTTCTTCAAGTTGAAAATTAACGGTTACAAGGATTTTGCTTACCTCTCCAAGTAATTATTGTTGCTTTTAGGTGTCCAAGGCTTCCATTCTTCTTCCAAATGACCTTCAGTAAGACTGCTGCTGTTAGATGTTGTTATTGTAGGGGTGTTTTTAGTGTAGGAATGTTCTACCTTATGATGTGTATGCTGCTGGTTATTAACTTCTTGATCAGGTGTGGATCTCGGCGAAGTGCAGGAAGATGTTACGATATCCTTTTGCCTATCTTCTGTTCGTTCGACGTTTTCGTCAACGGAACCATCGGTACTTGTGGTTTTTTCCTTATGCACATTCTCTCCATTAGTTTGGCTTAAAGCAGGGTTGTTGTTTATTTCTGTGAATAAGAGATAAAATAATTAATTAATGGTTTGAGATAATTCTTGAATTTATAGCAGACATAATGCTGGAATAGCATAAATAAGAGATAAAATAATTAATTAATGGTTTGAGATAATTCTTGAATTTATAGCAGACATAATGCTGGAATAGCATGAATAAGAGATAAAATAATTAATGAATGGTTTGAGATAATTCTTGAATTTAGAGCAGACATAATGCTGGAATAGCATGAATAAGAGATAAAATAATTAATGAATGGTTTGAGATAATTCTTGAATTTAGAGCAGACATAATGCTGGAATAGCATGAATAAGAGATAAAATAATTAATGAATGGTTTGAGATAATTCTTGAATTTATGGCAGACGTAATGCTGGAATAGCATGAATAAGAGATAAAATAATTAATGAATGGTTTGAGATAATTCTTGAATTTATAGCAGACATAATGCTGGAATAGCATGAATAAGAGATAAAAAACTTCAATCTGGAAATTTTAGATTACGTTGAAACGTTTACCATAAAGTTTAAAAAAGAATAAAAAAAATATTTTTCGCCCAAAAGGGTGTGTTAACCAGTTAACTGTGGTGCTCTTGTTCAAGAGTGCGCACCGTTTTGTATCGTCATAATCGAGTCATCTAGTATATTCGTCGATCACAGAATAAGTTGCGCTGGTAAGATATTGGATGAAAAAGATGGATGATAGTAAACAAACTTCTCGCATTCAAAAGCGAAACACGTCAGGATGGAGAAATTGTAAGAACTATTGCTAAGGTACAGCGGAGAGCTGTAAAAATTAGATACGCGTCGCGCGCTCACCAGCGAGTGGTAAAGTCACTAAACACTGGTAGTTCGGTCCGGGGTTCGTGTGTGTGTGATTATGGCAAAGCCTCGAGGGCTATCTGCCTAAGAGGAGGGATGCCTTCGTGGAGGACTTTCTAAGGGAAACTGGCTCTCGTATACACGTTACACATGGGGAAAACCACGAAAACGCCCATGCAGCCAGCTCGTTCGCGGGATTCGAACCTCGGACCGAACTACCAGTGTTCAGCGATTTTACCGCTCGGTCGCTGGTGGGCTCCAAAGGTCCGGGGTTCGAGTCCCTGCAAAAAGATGGCTGCATGGACGTTTCCGTGGTTGATCCCATGTGTAACATATATAAGAGCCGCCAGTTTTCTTTAAAAAGTTCTCCGCGAAGGCATCCCTTTCTTTAGACAGATAGCCCTCGTGTGCTTTGCTATAATCAAATAAACCAAACTATATATACCTCGCTTTTACATCTATTTAATCTTTTAATTGGTAATTAATTTTAATTTTTAGATATTGCTTACTTTAAATGATTTAAAATGACAGGAATTTGAATCTATAAATCAAAATTTTGTTGGGAAATAATCACTCCGTGATAAATTTCTCTAAATCTCTAGCTACGTACCACAATATTTCAAATTTACGCACAATAGCCCATTCGTTTAATCTCAAATAATTACGGAATGTAAACTTTACATGAAACTCGTGTCGGTCCATTAAGCACGACTGCTATTAGAAACTGCAATTTCGAATGGAAACATTAAATCGGAAATTCTCATCGAATTCGTAATGCGCTTAAATTTTAAAACCAATTCCCATTTTTCGTGATTTAATCCTGTTCTCGTTTACAAAAGTAAGAAAGGAAAACTCATTACCGAAACGGAAAAGGGCAATTCTCTTTGCACGTTTCTGTGTGTGCAAATTCGACTGCCTTTCCTTATTCCACGAACAGAACTTTTTAAAAAGGCTTTTTCGTCATTAGACGAAAGATTATTTCCTTAATGAATCGGTTACCCATGCGTAATTAACTTTTCACAGGGGTAAATACGCCTTGCTAATTGTATTTAGTCAAAACACGCCGAAATCAAATTTCGGGAGTAGAAGAATGTCGTAGCATTCGAAAGAAAAGAAGAAAGAATGAACGAAAAGTCAGTTTATAAAAGAGGCATTTCTTTCTTGATGACAGGAGGTAAACAAACGACACGCGATCTTTTTCAAGGAACACTAAACATCTTAACTAATGACATTTTTTTCTTAGTATTTAAATAAAGTATTGTCGGGTAGTTTTTATTTTAGATCTTTGATATTCGAACTGATATTTATAAAGTTAATAAAACGGAAAATAATAGTTAACCATATTTGCCACCAGAAGGAATTTCCAGTTCTTCAGGTAAAACAATGGTTCTGAAGGTTCTTTAGATAAAATAATGGTTCTTAAGTTCCCCAAGAAGGGAATCTATTGTACTGTTTGGATTATAGAAAAATAAATGATCGCTGTCTGTCTAAGAAAAGGGGTGTCTTCGTGAAGCACTTGCTATTCACACTCTGCATGGAAAAACAGTCTCTTATTCATATTATACACTGATGGAAAATGAAAACCCAATACCAGGATGGTTTTATTTTGGGGTTATTTGATTACGGCAAAGCCTAAAGTTATCTGCCTAAAGAGAGGGATGCCTTTGCTGTTTCTAAGGCAAAATAATTCGTATCAAAATCGAACGTGGGAAAACTCCCGAAAACTCGCATGCAGTCAGTTCCTTCGCCAGGATTCGAAACCAGGGCAAAATATTAACATCTTAAGCTGCAAAATCGCAAATGAACAAGATAGGAAGTAATGATTAGATAAGATAAGAAAGCCTGGACAAGAATAAGCAAGTGGCGCCATCTGTTGGTGAAACCAGACCTAAAACATAATTTCTTTAAAGGCCGAAGGCAAAGTTGAATTGGAATTAGGATCGTCAACTAGAACAGAAAGATTTTTATGAATGTGAAATGCCTCTAGAAAATCCACTTAATTCTCCAATGGAAAGATGTTTTTTGAATAATTTTGGCAGCAGAAAAATTGAAAGTGTGATTTTCGGACCAACAATGTAGAGCAACAGAAGACTTCTGTTTCCTTTTTTCTAACATATGCCTCATGTTCCTGGACGCGAAACTTCAAGGCTCTCTTAGTTTGGCCAATGTAAATTAAACCACACCGGCAAGGAATCTTATAAATACCCCAAGAATTCATATCCAGAATGAGGGTCCTTGAATATGGAACTCGGAATTTTATTGATGGGAGAATAAACAACCCGAAAGTTAAATTTCTGCAAAATATGTGCAACTTTATAGCTAATTGATGGAAAGAAGGGAATGACAACATAATTTTTATAATCTCCTAAAACAAGAGTGTGCCTTTTAGTGCGTTGAGATGAGAATTTTTTAACTGCTTGATTAATAATGTTGGGTGAAAAGCCCCTGTCAATAGCTATTGCTTTTAAATAATTTAGTTCTTCATCAAGGGCTAGTTTGGAGGAGCAAACTTGAAGAGCACGGAAAACATAGGAATAAAATGAAGCTAACTTTTGTTTAGTCGGATGACATGATTTGAAGTGTGGTGGAAGGCAAAAAGATGAAGGTTTACGGTAAACCGTAGTACTGAAGTTGGATGTGTTACGTGTGACCAGAATGTCGACAAACGGAAGAGAATTGCAAGTCTCAAGTTCAAAAGTGAACTGAATGGTTCAATCGAAACTAGTCCTGTGAAAATTCTGTAAATATAACGCTGATTTTTGTTGTTTGACTTCTGAATTAATACCTTTATAAGTTTATAAAGTAAAGAGTTTTTCTTTAAATAAAAATCAAACAGAAATTTAATGAGATTTCATGATTTTTTTTGCTATTTGGGCTAATCGTCTGGAGCTACGAATCTATTAATCTTAAACATATCTCGTATTCTTAAGAAGGTTTCATTTTATAAACAATTCTTTAATTTATGCTTGGTTTCCAGTAAATGATTTATCGTATAAAAACAGAACTGAATGCAATTAAAAACGTTCTCAAAAATGATATATCTAAAAATTTAGAGTATACTATTTTTTATTTTAAGAATCTAAAAAATATGCATAATTTCATTCACAGAACACGGAAAAAAAAAAATACCTTCTAAGACTTTACATCTTATAACATAGAATCAAATCTACGCTTTTTAATCCGTAACCGTAGTTCTTGCATCAACCAAAATGTGCGAACAGAGTCTGAAAGAAACCTTAACCGTCTTCTTTTCCATTTGAACAAATCGAGAAAAAGCACCTAGCGGCAATGATAGGCGATAATTAAATTTTCTCAAGGGCAACTTGTTTCTCGAAAGCTTTTCGGGAAGAAAGTTTTTCTCTCGGATAGCGACAAAATAAATAAATAAGTCTTAACTATCTCAGCAGCTGGGAATTGCTTGAAATCGCGATAACGGTTTAAATTTTTCATTTGAATCGAGAAAAAGTTTAGAATCCAGGATCATTATTTTAAATTTGTTTCCTCTTTAAGTCGTTAAAAATTAAAAGAAGAAGGATTCGGTAAAATTAATTTATTGTGTTCTGCTCTGAATTATATATGACACACACTTTGAAAACTGTTGCAACTTTGAAGATGGCACATTTTTGTCGAGTTCTACGGTAATTAATCAATTAATGTTATTCTTTTTTTTAGTTGATTAATTCCACAGTTGGCAGAGAAATAAGTTAAACTAATTTTGAATAATCGTTGCATAATTTTAAATAATTCAGCAAATGCTATACTGAGAGGAATGCTTTAAGCAAACTCGCATTTATTAAGTAATCGAAAAACATACTAATTTACCCTTTATTCTTAAAAAAATATTATTTGTAGACTATGTTTAATGAAAACAGTATTAAATAAGAAACTCAGACTAGACAACTATTAAATTTAGCAGACAACATACCGATCTTAGTCTGTTTTATCAACGATGACATACACAACTTTGAGCTACCGAATAACTAGTTAAAGTAAATTAAGTAACTTTATTACAAGAAAGTACGCAAGGCCTGCTTGCCTAGTTAAAACCTGAGCCTAGTTTCGTGCAATCCTAGTTTCGAGCATGTTTTCATAAAATCCGTCTCTTATCTGAAATTCGAGACTGAATCTGTCAGTGTCTAGAGTCATTAGGGTATCTTGAAGCAGGCGTATGAAAA